CGATGTACGTATAGATTAATGCCTGAAAACTTGTTATTCTCTCACTTGGTTGATAGCATCGCTTATTATTCTTTCCGTGTTTCTTGGGTGAAAGACCCCTTCTTCTGCTTGAATGGAATGGCTTCAAAATAAGTAATTTTACTTCCTGCAAATAGATATAAATTAAACCATCTAAACATATTTGAAAACATAAATTCACCTCGTTAAAGTTGATTGTAATTTCAGGCAAAATGCTCACTGTGTGTCTTGTTGAAGAGTTCTTTCAACCCATTCCTTCAGCCTTTCTATTCTTGTCTTTATCCAAACTTCAAACATGTTGGCTATGGCACCTTCAGCTTCATAAGGAGGCATCTCACGAATGATGGCCTTCCCACCATGATCACTATCTACTGAATCTTCAACAGCAATATTGACAAGATCTTTTTCCAACTTATCATTAGCCCTCAGTATTTGTACAGCATCTGGTGTCAACTCTGTTATACCTGCAATAAATTGCTTTAGCTTATTCCTAATAGCATTTAGTGTGGCAACAGCAACACTTGCAGCAAAAGTCATCTCCTCAAGATAGGACTGAATATGTCATTTTCTTTCATTGCAAGATTCTCAACATCCTTTGCAAGAATGGACAGGAAGGGAATTCAGCTGGTTCATTGATGATCTGCTACTTGAATCTGCCTTCTCCATTCTCTGCAAGTCCAAAATTTAAACAATTGGTTATGCATTATCCATCAATAGTTTAACTATTATTCTTTATTCTGGTAGCATGGTTACATAGACCAAGAAATGAAAGCACTGTCTCTAATTTGAGAGTTTCCAACTTAAAAGAAGATCAAGTGGAAATGACATCAACTATATGTGTGTTAAAAAATCACTTTATTTCATAACATGCCTGAGAGGAACCAGTTCTCAATTTGAATTATATCTCTATCTATATAAATACATCGACATCTTCAACATGAACAGTAAAAGAAGACGCGCCTAAAAAAAGAACATGCATGTATACAAATAAAAACCAAATTAAAAACAAACCCATTCTTATTGAAATCAGGTGTACCGAAATGAAATTGTAGCATAACGAAGGTGTTAAAAAAGGTTTTTCCAAAGCAACTACCCCACATTAAGAATTAGAAGCCACGAAAGACATAGAAATGAATACTGAATTTGATTAAACAAAATAAGCTTTCATTTGATTTCCATTTAAAACTTTATAATGAGATTTAAATTCATGCTAATCATTTACACTTTCGAGAACAAAAAGGGAACATTTTTTAATGAAAAATAGTGTGCGTTCATTTCCTGTACAATATTTTTGGGATTGCGCAACTATTGAATGCAAACAGTCTAGATCATCAGGATTCAAAAACAGTTTCTATATTATTCATCTGTATACAAGTTCTTTTGTAAAAAAGAAAAATATATTTCTTTTATTTATTTCTTTAAGGGGAGCTCCTTGTAAGTGAAAATTAAACTAAAAGTGAGATTTCAAACTTTCAAAGGAGCTTTGCTTCAACAACTTCAAGAAGAAGATGCAGATATTGATTTACAAGGTCTTCACATGTATGTTGTGATTATATGAACTAATGGGAGTCATNTCCTGTAAGTGAAAATTAAACTGAAAGTGAGATTTCAAACTTTCAAAGGAGCTTTGCTCCAACAACTTCAAGAAGAAGATGCAGATATTGATTTACAAGGTCTTCACATGTATGTTTTGATTATATGAACTAATGGGAGTCATCAATTTGCAAATATAATATGGTCAAACTTGTAGTATCGTGTAACTGATGAATCAATGGTTTCTTCTATATTAAAACTGAGCAGGATGAAAAATTAAATGAGCCAATAGAACAAAATAAAACTATAGAACAATAAAACAAAAGCAATATATACAAAACAAGAAGAGAACCACTTCAAAATTGCCCAAAAAAGAAACAAAACCGGGATTACCAAAGGATGTTGAGGATTTTCGACCCACAATTTTTTCAATAATTCCACTGCCTCATTCAAGTCAAAATTCCTCTTCTTTATTCTACACATCTAAATACAATCTATTAGATTAAATAGAGCAAAGAAGAAAACCAAGTTCACTTGCCAAGAATCATGGCTTCTTCTCACATTCTTGGAGGATAAAAT